GCGTCTCGGTTTGTTTGTGTGCATGAAATTGGGATTGCGGTAGTATAGGCTTCCACTTCGCTCGCTGATAAAGTCTTACCGTGAAGGAGGCGGGTGTTTATTTCTGTGCTTTCCTGCCGTGCAAACCTGAAATCTCCCCGGCGCAGATCACAAAGCGCAGCGGTCTTCTTTAGCTTATTCTTTCTGCTGCTCATTGCTCCGAGAGAATTCACCATTAACCTTCCCGTCAGGAGAGGGGGGAGGCAATCTTGTAACTTTTTCAAAGGTGACAATGCTGGGTGTGTTACAGGATTTCACGCCCAACTACTTTTTAGAAGTTCCATCCAATTTTGCCGACTGTCATGGGGCATTGCATTTTGGCGCAGCTAAATGATGATTTTTTTTTTTTTATTTACTTAAGATTATGCATACTCTATTTCTGTATAAGGTTTTTCTATGGCAGCTTCATCCTCCACCCATCGGACATTCTAATTTGGACTGGTGACATTTTCGACTCTGTTCGGCTCGGTGGCGCGAGCTGCGGCATTTGCTAATGACCATGTTTACTGATTTATGGGGGAGTGCTGAAAAACTCACAGAGTAGGAGTAGTCGTAGGATGACTGAAATTTCTCTCGACCCATTTTCTCTTTTGATCCTTGCTGTCATCTTTAAGGAACTATGTTGAATCGAGTTGAGGAGCTTCACTTGTACAAAAATGGTGCTTTGCTGCCATCTTGTGGCCTCTATAGGCAATTATTATGTAAACCTTTTGGGAGGGTACCACATAAAGACAGCAAAGCGCTACTTTTTTACGAGAATGGGTTATGGCCTGATTAAATGAAGCTCCTCCTCTTGGTTCAACATAGTTCTGATTTTGGGCAAAATGCGGGGAACACCCTGTAGTGGTCGCCATTCCATCACCGGACAACATTTAGACCAACATTCACATCTATGGACAATGTTGGGTCTTGTCTACTGTCCTCATTCGTCTCGTCCGTGTTCTTCCTGCAGCATCTCTGCAGTGAATGTTGACAGGTTGTCCTTCGAGGGGTGGAGTCTGATGAAGTCTCTCGACAATGAAAATTTTGTCTGGCTTCTCTTCCATTGCTGTGTTTTCTTTCTATTTGTTGCCTGAGTGTTCAAGGCATGCAGGCGCACGCTCCCGACCCTCGCGCAGGTCACAATTTCCCGCTACTCGGCGTTAATTTAGCTTAATCTACGGGAGAGTCTGAGCAAAAGATGAAGCTGATTGCTCACCAGAGACCTTCATTTATTTTCGGGGGTGGGGGAGTCAATTAGAAAACTTAAATAGGCAAAGTTTTACAAAGTTAGCGTGTTGATTGCACAGGCTTTCTGTTGTTTTGTGACGAGTTTCCTGGGCAGTGTAATCACCTCCCTAATATGCGCAGCCTTTTATCCCGACACTCGCATTAATCAAGTGGTGCCGCTGAGCGAGAGCGGATGATTGCGACAATAAGTGGTGCGTGTCATCCAAACAGCCATTAAGTGTTTGGACACTACACCTTCATTATGGGGCCGACCGGGCCGCCGCGCTGTTTGACGCGAATTCCTCCCTTCCCCGTTGATCATACGCATCCTGGAAATGTCAAGCGGGTCATACAGGGTGTGTCAAAAAAGTCACAAATGACAATTTTGCTCCTTCGGTATGAACCAAACAATCGAACGCCGTGGCTACATGGAGAACCTGCCCTATTTGCGAGTTTGGATTTGGCCAGTCCTGGAACTTTTATGACACACCTCAGAAAAATTAGAATGCGGACATAAAAGCGCCGGCAGCAGAAACATGGCAGATTAAACTCGTCTGTCTGCCTGAAAATTGTCCGGAGAGGGAGACTAACGGCCGTTCCACGGGCTGATGGCAGCCATTCCGTCAGAGAAGATTGAGGAGGCATTGCGGAGATGGTCCACATCGTCCATAAATCATGTTGACAATTGACTTGAAATGCAAGTCTGCCATAAACAGCCGATGTAGGACAACCCCCCCGCCACCCCCCGCCCCTCTTCCTCTAATACCCGCCAGCAGACTCAAATAAAATGACAACCCGATGCATCGTGCGTGACCTGCGATGCAACCTACGCTTTTCAATTAAAGCGATAAAGGGGAATTTTTTTTTCGCCATGTTACATTTTTGTCTGTGTTCCTTCCCAGCGATACGCCGCTTATCTCCGCAAACAGCCCCGTTTTGTTTGACGACTTGATGAGTAAATCTTCTCTTTTTTTCCACACCTGCGCTATCTGACAATATGCCTTTACAAAATGTTTGCCTTTGCAAAGATAATAACGCTCCCCTTTTGATGGAGAGAGCTATTCATCGTTGAACAATACGCCGCTACCTCGGAGTTCCAACAGCAGAAATATTACGCTTGACAGTGAATGCTTGACTATCAGGCCACGGACCAATCGCAACTCAGCGCACATTCGGTACCAGACTGAAGACAAAATCGTTTCGAGAGACTGAAGTTTCATTTGGAAAATCAGGGACAAGCCAAACCACTTGAAGCGCTAAATAACTTGCAACATCCAATCTTTTTCATTTAAAGATTTGGTCTTTTTTTATTTTTTTTTGACTGAAATTGACAAAATTGCCTTTGGGCTCGCATGATAAACGTCATGTGACCAAACCCAGATGAGCCGTGACATTTACAATGCAAGCCCGAGGGCCATAAATGGGTTGGGGGGGTGGGGGGGGGCGGGGTAACCGCCGTATCTGTGTACAAATGATTAAAAGTCAATTTTCCATAATCGGGCCCCTTTTTCATAAAGTTCAGCGTGCCTGTTTTGTCTTAACAGGACAGCGCAGACGCGTTGATGAGTGATGTTTCGCAGCAGCGGGGCATCCGAGCTTCCGGCAGCTCAGCATGTGGCGTTTGTGTGCGGCTTCCGCCAGATGTTGACTCGAGCGCCGCGCAGATGACAAACTTTGACAAATCCGCTATCTAACACACGGCGGGGTTTCACTTTGCTTTGTTTGCACGCGCCGCCCCTGCCTCGCATGTGGCATACCACCCTTCCCGTGCGTCAACGCCAACCACTTCAGAGGCCACAAAAAAGTCCATGCCTCTTTTTCTAATCAAAAATAGTATTCGTAGGTTAGTCAGAACTAAATACACAAATGAACGTAACAAATATTACACAACTTTTGATGATTTCGATTTTCTGCGGGCCAGATTGGGTCTCGACCTGCATTCAAAGCTCAGGACAGCTTCATATTTTAAGAGACGTTCTTTTGACATGTCTCCTCGGCGACTTGAATGGAAGCAGGAAGTGAATCAATCCCAATTAAGTGAGCAGCGGTGGTCCCAGTGTCCCTTTCTGGATGTAATTACTTCATGTAATTGACAGAGCCACCGCGTGCGTCACTGATTGCTTTTTTTTTTCAAGCCAGCCGCGAATCATTCGGCGAGCTTGCAGTCCGTTGCGGCAGCTGCTTCATTCAAATGGAAACTTCCAAATGCGCAGCAGCCTTTGAGGAGTTCGTAGCCACTTGATCAAAATAGAGAAAAAAAAATCAAAAAGATGAAAAACACGGGGCTGTGTACGTTTGGGTCTGTTTGGTGAGGCCAAACACAAAGTATCAAAGCGTCTCGAACCTCACAAAAGCACTTACGTGCCCTTTTCAAACGTCTTTCGAGCACTCCAGACGAACGTTGATGTTATTTTTTTGATTCTTGTGCTGGAGTTGCAACATGAGGCCGGAGGTAAGTTGATCCATCCTCAGCCTTCAAAGCTTCCATACAAAGCTCACAAAAAAAAAAAAAAAAAAACAACCCACCACACCTCTTCATCATCGTTGTGCCCGACAAAGCTCCCCCCCGAGCCTGTTTCATTCGCCATCACCATGACGACGTGCGCGACACCACGCCGCGGTGTACAAAAAAACAAAAGAAGCATCAAAGTAAGCCGACGCAACAGGAGTTTCATGACAGGTGTGCCCACCTACAGTTTGCCGGTTCACCTGTAGCGCTACCTTGACTAATGAGTTTCATTTGTTCTGAAACTCAAATCGTCCTTCCCAATTAAAATGACTGGAAATGCCATTAATGTGTTCCAGCTCACCGAGAAAAACGGCACGGGACAAAATTGTGCTTTACAATTACCAACATAGACGTGGTCGTGACACTTAACACAATCTATCGTCAAATTTTAACATAAAGACAACAACATACAGAATTTGCAAAGTGTCTTTGTGGGAATAAAAAGCCTCTAAGGCAAAAGTTCATCAAACAGCAAAGACGCTTGTGCACCCACTCCGACTCCGAATTTCAAAGCGGTGAGACAAGTCAAGTTGAAGATGTTTTGGATCAAAACATTTTCAACTTCATGATGCATCCTTTCATTTTCAGAATTTTGGAATTGTGAGGCGGACGTGCTAATCATTCTCATTGAAAAGATTCGGAATGGGACCATTTTCGAAACGCCAAACCAGGTCGGATTTTTTTTAGTAGTGAATCTTCTCACCATGTAAACCGGGTCTAAACTACAAAGCTTATTCGCACTTGAGCCTGATCCCAAATAATTAGCGAGCAGAAGAAAAGCTAAATCGTGACGGTCGGTGACGAGTGCGCTGACCCCGCGTGGCTTTATGAAACTCCTTTTTTGTATTCAGCACGGAGCTTCGGGGGAAAGTGTTGATGCAACAACAGCATCTCTGGGCCAAGTGAGTCCGGCACGGTGGGGGGT